TATCAAATTTTGTTAAACTAAGTCATTCCGCTTACCCGTCTCCAGCTAAACCACCACGAATACCATCAAGTGGGATAGAAATCAAGCGCTGCTTTTAAAAGGTATAAAAGAACTTATACCGTTTAAGAGATCCCCCTGATCCTATTTGGATTAGTTATTCAGCTTACGTAAATAAAGTTGTAGGGCGGCACCAACGTCAGTGATTGAATCGGTAAGTTCGCTTCGAAAGATGTAAAAAAAGATATAAAAGTAATTTTAAGTTAGGAGGACAGATAAGTCTCCAACAGCGATATAACTTATAACACAAAGGTCATTAAACTCCTCCTATTCCCAGTTAACTTAAAATAAACACCAGCCAAAAATTTTCATTCCGTGAATATCAATAGTATCGTAAAAGGCAGAAGATGGGTGGCCGCATTTACTTAATAACACCTTAATAATTTAAAAAAAAATGCAGTACCTAAGCAATGCGATTGCCTAGCATGGTAGCTGTGGCAAACATCAACTCATGAATGGACAGCTTTTGTGACACTCTTTGAGGAAGACCTAAATCAAGCAGTAGACTTGTGAGGGATGTTGATGATTTGTCAGCGTTTAAACAGTCGACGGTAATACATAGACCTCTCCCATATTCTTCATTGTCCCTCCAGTCCTAACAATCTAAGTATACAGTTCCGTAGATTTATGGATGCGTAGACGTTAGACCGCACAAAAAGAAAAACTAATATTAAGACAGATTAAGTATGCTCGCATGAATAAATCGTAAATAAATCGTTTCAAACAGACATAATGTTACGTCTGTTCGATTCATTCGAATATATATCTTTCAAAAATGTCGCAAAGAGAATTTGTGAATGCGTATCGCGGTAAAAGAATAAAATTGTGCGAAAATCCTTTACGCAGATAAAAATAAAACATCAAACGAACAAAATAAAAAATAAAACAAACAATAACACGTAGGCGGGGGATGAAATTAGTCTCAGCGGTTGCCTTTGCTAAAGATTCCGCAAATCCTATTTTTAAAGTGATTATTCCACGATGAAAGGGTAGGGGCGGTTGAAAGGATACAATTCAAGAAGTTTATCAAAGCAAAATATTCTGAAATACAATGCAGGATAAAGACATCGTAATAAAATTGCCTGTAAGTTATGTAATGTCCGCATCAATAGTGTAATAATATTTGGGATAAATTGTCTAGATTTGATTGAACTGTAATTACAGAGGGAGCACATTAGGAATATCTTCTGAATTGTGGAGATTTTTAATTTACACAAATTGCACACGAACAAACATAGAACAGTTATATGTGGCCATGTAGCGTCGCAGCGCTTTACCATCTCCGCTTACATTACCAGTTATTATTCGTTGGGAATGAAGTCAAACACTTATTCTTTCTTTCGTTCATTCATTAAGCCCTAGTCTAGCACTGAACATAGGCTACTCTTATTCTTTACAGAGTAGATATTTGCAGAAGTAACCTCGCTTGGCAGGCGGTTTTGCCACCGCATTTTTTTCAATTATTTTGACTTGCGGAGGTGTATGGATGTGAAGGAGACGAGAGAGGTGTGTCAGGATCGTGCCAAATGGAAGTCTGTAGTCTCTGCCTACCCCTCTGGGTGACAGGCGTGAGTGTTTATGTTTTTTTTATGTTTATTTTGACTTATCAGGTAGATATTGCTGCTCATTCCTGTCGCCTCTTCCGACGCCCAAGGGTTGATACGGAGTAATGAATTAATTTACTCCACTACCAATGTATAGTCAAACTTAAGATTTATTATAAAAAAGCATGCTCAGCGTAGACAAATTTCGTGAAAATTAATCATTTAAAAATGCTACTAAAATTTACTTTATTTGACAAAAAATAAAAAAGACTTGTATACGATGTACAGTAAATAAAAAAAAAGTTTAACTATATTATAAATAAGCATACTACAAATCTGAAAATTATAAAAATCTACATTACAAAAAAGTATACGATGTCAATAAAACGATCCATAAAACAGTGACGTTGTAGTTAAAATTCCACAAAACAAAAGAGTAACAACGCTTGTGTAAAAGTTGTTAACTTCGGTATCTAAAAAAAGACCAAAGCAAAAGGGTTGACCGAAATATAAATTGAAAATGTGAGTTATATCTTTTTATGAAACAGATCAAGGAAACAAGAGAAAAACTGTTACATATTTAGTATTCACTGTAATTAAATTCTTGCATGAGTAACGAGACAAGTGAAAAATCAAATTTCAATTGGTACACTTCTTAATAAAAGTGACACAACTCGCTCGTTGTTCACGAAAAATATAAACTGCTCGAACGTGTACTTACTGAGCACGGTTCATAGAAGCCGGAGCCGGATAACTGAATAAAGGAAAATTGGCGTTATTAAGCTCGAAATACGTATAAGCCGGCGAATTCCAGATCCCGGAAACATAAACAGAACGAATGGGCACCCGATTAAGGGTGCGAGAGAGTAAGTGATAGAAACGCGGTCTTCAATTGGTTTCCTCGTCGACTGCTTTGTCCGCTTTCTTTAATGACATAGAATAAAAGCTTTTCTTTCATATTTGTCTTGCTTATTTATGATAATTGTCATATGGACTATTTTAATAGCGAATAGCTTGGCTGCAACCTATGATAAGGTACTTAGTTCATTCAATAGCGCAGGTCGACCAGTGTATGGACGAGTAAGCAAATTAGGAGTTCTAAAAGGGAAATTTCCGTTGAAGATATAGCATCAAAGTAGTCATCGATGCATTTCAAAAATATTAACTGGAATAGAAAACTACGCATTCGCTTATTAGAGACGTATGGCATATATTCAGTGTACATTTTTAATGATTTACGGAAAAAATTTATTGCGATACGACGGTACGTGTTTTTTGTTTTAGTGTACCGTACCAAAGTCATCAAGCCGGAACACTTACGAAATAAGGTTTTAGTATAAGTCTATCAACTTCTTTTTGGTGTATTTTTTTAATCTGTTGTAAGCCTTTTTAATTTATGGCAGATTATAGGCCACTAAATGGAGTGACGACCTGGTAAGATATGTAGGAAGTCGATGGATGCAGGTGGCTCAGGACCGTGCTTTGTGGCATTACTTGGGGGAGGCCTATGTTCAGCAGTGGAATTGTAAAGGGCTGTAAGGATGATGATATAGGCGTTAAGTAAACAAAGTTTAATTTAGATTTCTGGGGTTGAGTTAATTTCTTTTTCGTTAATTTATATTAGTTAATATCTTTCTTAAGGTTGGGGGAAATCCCAACAAATTGTGGTCTCATGACTGTATCACAAAAACATTGTTTAGAAAACTGTAACAATAAAGTAAAATAATGAACATTGAATATCTACATCTTGCTCATTATAATGTAGACGAATACTAGACCGAATTTTACTAAATATATTGAACATTAATATATTGAACATTAATGAAATCGGCTCAGTAAAAAGAAGTCTTACAAATTAAGTTTTTATTTTTATTTTAACAATTAATATTCATTACACACAATATGAAAAAACTATAATAAAGAAAAACTAAAACTAAAAATTTTAATTGTCATAAAGTTCTACTCCCCACGGTATCGTGCCAAGAACGCTGGCCGCGTTTCCTCACTGAATAGCTATACTTAGCCTTTGAGCGAGGAAAGAACCAGCCCTCTTATCAACAGCAGCGACGACCAGTCGCGGATACAGTTCCTTTAGGAACTTCACAGCGCGTGGACCTCACGGACCGATAGTCTCTACAGCAAATGGTAAAAATTTGTAGTAATTTCTCAAAGACTCATTGCCGCCTCGGCTCTAAAAGAGGTACTCTTGAAATGAGAGGTCGCCAAAGTATAAACGCAAGTACCATCCAACAGTAGGGATTCATCTCTTTTCCAAGGGACCAAAGTCATACCGTCGGGTCTCTTGCCATCATCTCTAAATATCCCGCAAGGCTCTAAGCTGAGAGAATATTTATGGAGACAATAGCCCTTCGGATGACTTCGTTCAGAGAACCGTGACGGGAAAACCTACCTGCACTTTTTTACATGAAAGTCCGTGGAGCCCAAACTCATCGACGCTGCTACCACAGGGGCACTGGTGAGGTTGACAAATTGCCACTCCTAGACGAATTCCTACGACAATGCGCAAGCTTTCCACATCAAGTAATGTGCCAAGATTACTTGATGGTGCAGCGTGTAACCAGTGACTAGATTCCTTAGTCGAAACAGCTAAAGGGAAAAGAAAAGGCGAGACTGATCTTGGTCACTGTGGAACTTGCGAAATAAATCTTTCTGGACACTCCGTACCAACGGAATATCCCATAGTTTTTGTTAGTTAACTTCTCGTGGGTCATTTTCGCCGGGGCAGAGTGTTAGCCATGTTTGCCTTGCCTCCGCAGCAAAGCACAAGTCTACTTTATTATATAAAATTATGTAAAATAACTCGTTCCCATCATGAAGGGAAGCGACGAAAGTAGGCAATGCGACGCTAGAAATATTTCTTCACCAATACCACCAAATATAAAGTAAGGTACCGAGGTAAAGTAGCTATATTCCAGACTGTTGTGTTTATTCTCAAAACTAAGAATTTTTTCTAAAGCTATTTTAAGATTATTATAAATATCTTTTAAAACATCCGAACATTTCCAGACCGGACTTGAGCATATTAAGAATATTAATAATTTTATTTAATACTTAATATAAGAATATTAAGTATTAAATAAAAAGTACATTTATAAGTACGAGAATTTGTTTTTGACAATATCTCATGAATTATGCATTCATTTAATAGTTAATAATATTTATCGTATAAAAATTGCAAGAAAAGGATGGGAATGAGGATTAAGAAAATTGGTTTTGGGGCCGTTATACACGATCACATTATTTAATTATATAGATCAATAATAAAAATTAAAAAATAATAATAAATTAGCCACAGAAAGCACGTCTAAGACAAATTCATTCAAAAATCGCAGATCCTTGACCTGACCCAAGAGGTCAAGGGACGACCCGACGGACACATTGGGAACTATTCGAACGGAAAAATCGGGCGAGGCGGTGCGAGAAGGCAACGTCGTCCATTTAGACGTGAGCCGTGACTCTGTGGGCGCAAGCTGCGGTTTGGCGTCACGAGAAGACTGGCCGGCTGTCGCGGGCGACCCTGACCTAACTCAAGAGCTGGGCGGGTCACGTAGCCGGGTGGGGTTGAAACTCCGGACGTTCACCTTGAGACGCGAAGCTGAGGCGAACGCGGGAGCGGTTTGAACACGCTTCCGCCAAACGTGTAGCTTCAAAGTAGATTTTTGAGGGTAGATGAATGAAAAACTTGGCTAAAAAATCTTTAATATTTCAGAATAAAATCTCTATAGAACCAAACCCGAATTTCTATAGAGCAAAAAATAGTTTGCTAGATGATTCATGCAATTATCGATTTAGAACGCAAAAAATTTAATATTGAAAATTATAACCTATGTTACGAAATTTTAATAATTTAGGTGTGGTGCGGTCTTTATGTTGTAGTTTCTAAATAATAATCAATAGTTGAAACATTTAACATCATTTACTTAGTATTGTCCATACAATTGTCACAAGGCAGTAAGTATTGACCATACACATAATCACAAGGTCGACTTGCTTAGTTTTCGTGACCAAATACAACTAAATAATTGAAAATAATTCAAATACAGATTCTGAAGCTGCATACGAAAACGTTCGATTAGAATGTCCAAGTCAAAGTTATAATACTGAAACAATAATTAATCTTAGAATATTATGATCTTGATCTTTAAATAATCTAAATCCACAGGGTTGACAACGAAAGCTTTTTTTGTATTAAGTTAGCTGAAGGTAGATTGTAAGTTTACTTTTATAAAGAAAATATTTATAAATTTAAAAAATTAACACTTTAATCATTTTTTTATGGAATATGGTTGATAAACGAGTACTAGGCTCATAGTTATTTACATCTATCCTCTCTCTCTCTCTCTATCTCTCTCTCTCTCTCTCTCTCTATATATATATATATATATATATATATATATATATATCCTCCAATAATGCAGATACGTTGTCACCCCTGGAGACTACGATGGAATGCCTCGTTATTCACAAGGGGCTCCGGTTATCTACAGGTCTGAATCTGAATGACAGTGTGAGAAATTATTAAAAAGGAATGCTTCGTATACGTAGGTATGTATGTGAAGGAGCGAGAAAGGTGTGTCAAGATCGTGCCAAATGAAAGTCCGTAGTCTCTGCCTACCATTCTGGATAATAGGCATGAGTATTTATGATTGTGGATCTCTACACTCACTATAACATAATACATATAATTGTTATAATGTTATGAATACAAATGCAATGAAGGCCAAGTCGGGATCCGATTAGTAAGGAAATAGTCGAAGTAGGACGCTACAAGTGACCGGGATGGGGACGTCCGCCTCGCCACTGGATCCGCCGTTTGGCACGTCAGGCGATGATTACACACTATCTATAAATTATGTCGACGACACATAGACTAACGCAAACATAGTTCACTAGATTAGGCCACACTGTTATTACACGTTGTTCTTACACGTCGTAATTCGTTCAAGTTGTTATTACACGTTGTAAAAAGGAGAAAAATTTATACGTTTTGTTGATGTTGTTGTTGGCAAAATTCCCCCTATGAAAGGAATCTGTATGGGAAGCCTATCTATGTTCAGCAGTGTACTTTAATAAACTGTAGTGGGTGGAATATAATGCGATTCGTATAAGAATAGGAACGTCAATGACCGCGATCTGTCAACTGCCACAGTACGGCCTGCAGAGAAAATTAAGGTCCCACTTTTATATTTATTTAACTGAAAGTCTTGGTATAACTACGTAGTAGTATAATTTATTCTATACTTTTATTCTATATTTTATGTATAATTAGTGTTAAAAATAATTTAAATCTGTTTTTTTCTATTTTCGTTGTTGGCAACATTTTGCCAAAAAGTAAATTAAATAAATAAATATTTAGTAAACAAAAAAAAATAACTAATTAATTTAATTATTGAAGTGTTAAATTGCGATTTAAACATTTTCTTTCATGGTTCTTTTGTATTGATCTATAAATAAATATTATTATCTGTTTTGCTCATCCTACTGTGGAAGGAAAAGGGGAGATCTTCCGCCGGGCAAGGTGTTCTGCCCGGGGAGCGTCCAACACTCCGTGTGATAGTTCGGAGATGTTCTATATATGCTGTTTGTGATTCGGAATGTTGATAGCGTGATTTAGGCTTCGGTATGTTTCGCTTGCGGCGCGACGACAGCGCCGCCACATCACCCCCCTGCTCAGACCAGAGCTCGATAGTGCAGTCTCGTTGTCGACGAATGTGCAAGTGCCAGGAGAGTGCCTTGTAGTCTGCGGTGAGTCGAGAAGAAGGCAAGTGATCTGCGAGAGTGCCGTGAAGCAGAGGCGAGCAGTAAGGCTCAGAGCCGTGCCGAACATTGTATAGGGCAGAGAGTAGCTTGAAGGAACAGGAAGCATTATTATTCCAGTGCTGCGATGAACCTTGTGAAGCTAGCTGGCTTGCAGGATATGAAGACTGCAGACGATATCTGCTCGAGAGCGAATGGGTGGGGTATTTTATGACGATGATGAAGCTTGAAGTTTCCGAAGGTTGTTGGTTACGTGTTCATATCACGTCGGGGTCACCACTGTGGCCGTGGTAGGAAAAGGGGAGATCTCTCGCCGGACAAGGTGTTCTGCCCGGGGAGCGGCTCACACTCCGTGTGATAGTTCGGAGATGTTCTATATATGCTGTTTGTGATTCGGAATGTTGATAGCGTGATTTAGGCTTCGGTATGTTTCGCTTGCGGCGCGATGACAGCGCCGCCACACTACCTTACTGGTTTGAATTGACAGCTATGACGTCACAATATGGTGCCAGGTCAGTCCTATTCTTATTTGGATCGTATAGTACATGTTGTTACTAAAGGACTAATATTCTGAAAGGTTTGCTAACTTGACTCGACAGAATGTGTCGAAGCAACAAGTTGGCAACTCTGAAAACTTGCATTCGGTGTTTCCTTTTTTTACAATATTCGCTATATTATATTATACTCATTACCAAGTACTTAGAACCTTGGAGTAGTTAGCGGGAGGCGATGGGGAAACTACTGGTGAGCACTGCCGGGCAATCTTTTTATACGTCATAATTAAACCAAGAAACCGATCAACATGAGGAGTATGAATAATTGACATTCCACAAAATGCATATTAAACTTAAATGTGGGTTATTTCTTATATATGGTTTATTTTGAGGTTCCTTTTCTTTCGTCTTTCCTCTGTTGCCTTTAACGACAGCCACGGGATGATACGGGTAGCAGATATAACTACGCCGCAACTGTACGGCACCATAAATTGGCTATGTGTATGTAAAAGAAAATTGCAATCAGATAATTTTAATTAACAGATAAAATTAAATTAGATGGAAAAAAATGTCAGTAAAATGAATGTTAATAAAGGGCGGGAAAGCACACAGGAATCAGTAATTGTATCAAACAATGCGGTTAAAGTTTAAATAACCAACAAAATTAACCGCTGAAATATGCACAAAGCTTTGCCGCGGTCTTGTAGTGGATCGCATCAATCCGATTTAATATTTTTGTCGTATTGACGATTTGAAATTGGCTCAAAATTAATATTTATATAATTAACATTTGTAAAGTCAACAATTTGATATATAATTTCAAATATTCAAAAATCGAATCAATTGGATAGTCAAATTATTTTATAGAATAAGGGTGACGAACAAGCAAACAGTCTACCTGATGGTATGTGGATGCTGTGGCCCATAGACAATCTACATCTATCCTTGATTAAGAATCAAAATGCATATGTGTTGCTACCCCTGAAGACTAGGTTGGAATGCCTCGTTTCCAGTAAAAAGTCGCCTGTTCTTTACACTTACGAACTTAACGAAGATAAATGTATATGTCTATTGGCCACAGAACCATCAAATAAGTAAACCTGATTAAGGTTTTAAGGACTTTTAAAAAAAGAAAGTTCGAAGTCGCACTTTAAGAGTATGGGTAGAGTACATAATATACGCAATCAACACAAGTTCGATCCCCGCCAACAGTATTTGTTTATCACGTATTTTGAGTTGAAGGAAAACAACGTGAGGAAAGCTACATGACTGTGAAATTAATTTTATATTAAAAAAATTAGAGTCCTCATTCTCTTAAATTGTAAAGAATATCGAGTGAATGTGTTAGAAGTGGTTGAATTAATTACTTAGAGAGTCGATCCACTAATTAGAACAAATGGAATTAGAGATAGCAAGACAATAGGAGTGGGTTTAGATTTCACAACGCATGGTCGCTTTGTGAAATCTAAACAATGACCTTTTCAGCATTGGACTGTTGGAGTGCCATGAAGATGTCAAAATTCCGATATCACTGCACTTCACTCACATTGCACATCACATCTTTAACTTTTAATTAAAAGTATCAACTGAGTGTGATAAAATACGTATGATGAGAGTGTATCGCAGAATTGAAACCCTCACTTAGATGCTATTGTGTGGAAATTATTTTATTCAGCTTTGTTTTTGAAATCGGTTTTACTTTTCACTAACGCCTTATATAATTGTAATTATAACAGTATTTATTTATTTCTATTATAATACATAAATTTGTTGTTATTTTGAGTAGTTTCAGGAATGTCACAAATTTAATGTTACTTTAGAATGCCGTCTAAATAGTTATATTTAAAATTTGGACCCCTATTTTCCCAAGCTTTTAGGGATGGATTCTTTTGAATTTATATATGAGATCATCCTTGAAGTAATTCCCGCCATTGGGAATATATTGCCAAAGTTGCCACACGGAGGGTTTGCTTGCAGAAAGTTGATGGATGGTTGGATAGGTGGTTCAGGACCGTGATTTGTGGCATTCCTTGGGGGAGGCGTATGATAAGCAATAGACTTGTGAAGGGCTGCAATGATAATGGTGATCCTTGAAGTAGATCCCATGTAATTAAGAGATAATCATTACAATAGGATCACTTCATTTACGATTAAATCGCTTAAAATACCTACATACAAAGAATAGAATAGAGTAGTTTTTTAAACTCGGTTCAAAATGTAAGAAAGTATATAATACTTTACATATGACGTAATAGCTAAAGCACCATTACATTTATACTGCCAATCCTTATAACCCAGTAATAACAGTTATTCCTTTGAAATGTTGGAAGGCGTGTCTTCAATCTATCAAATGCACTCTGCAAGACAAGG